TCTTGAAAAAACGCGATCGCTTAAATCTTTAGAAATAGTATTTTGTTTTTTAAATTAAAAATTGATTTTTCGGTAGTGTTTAGAATTTTTAAAATCACAAGTGTTTCCGGTACATTTTATCGTCCAAAATGTGTGATTCATCAGTTGCCGACTATAAGGTTAGAGATATTATCTTTGAAAAATATTAATAACATTTTATATTTAAAGAGTATTTTTAAGAAATATAAAAACCGGGCATTTTTTTTATTGGTATTTTAAAACGTTTATCGGTCAATTTAAAGTTTTATCAATTTTTTTTCTTCTTTTTTTTGTCCTCACACCGATGCGAAATTACGAATTTCATTTCTATTTTTCAAGGTGGCGTTCGCAAAGCATTATAAAGGGTAATAAACAATTTCAAATTATAAGCCTCGTGGTGGTTTGGAGCGATAAAGAAAACGCGTGTATTCTGTACAGTATGCGCAATAGACAAGTACACTTAGCCGCGCGCTAATGGAACCGTTTATCGATGCTGGGGTTTTAACTTATTATGTATAGACTTCTAAAACACCTTTCATAAATCCTTTTTCTTCATTCACTCTCTCTCTCTCTCTTTCTCTCTCTCTCTTCGTTCCCGTATCTCGTGTTGTCAACATACAGTCATGTTTCTTTCTTTCTCTGTCGATTTTAATCTCAGTCTACTCTTGCGCAGATGCATTTACTTTTAACAAAATAATTTTTTCTTTTTACTACTCGCGTGTCTATAAGGAATGTTTCTAATTACTTATTTACTATTTTTTTGTACATCTTCAAATATATCTATCCTGCTATAAATTACTTCTCGAGATATAGATGTTCTCTTAATTTTTTTTTTGTTTTTCTTTTTTATTTCTTATGTATCTTTTGCTTTTTTTTCTTATATTTTTTTATTTTTTCTTATGGGTTAAAAAAATATCGATCTACATTGATCGAATTATAAAAATAAAGTTTTTATTTATTTCAAACTCATACTTAATTATTTATTTTAGAAATGAATTTTCTATTTATTTACTTTTAGAAATTACAAATTTATTTATTTTAGAGAAATTTTTTATTTATATATTAGTATCATGAGTAAAAAAAAAATGAGATAAACATTTTTTTATTTTTTGCTCTTTTGTTGGAAATCTTTTCGACATTTGTATATATATATATATATATATATATATATATATAGGTGACTAACGCACAGCTCTCGGTTACTTACGATGCTTCAATTAACAGAACCAGCAATTATCTGTTATTTAAATGAGGCTCACCCTCAGAAACTCGTCTCTCTATCTTTGTTTCTCAGTATATTCTCTCTCTCTCTCTTTCTCTTCCGCCTATCTAGTTGAGAGGTTGACAACAAGGGTAAAATCTTGATATACCTTGCACCGTATCCGTTTTCTCTCAGTTCTATATATATATATATATATACATAATACTGTTGCATTTTCGTCCTCCAAGCTCCGTCTCGCCATTCACCGAAAGAGGGTTGACAGCATAAACCTTGCACGACACTGACGGCACTTTCTAAACGCGTGAATTTTTAATAAAATCACCTGTGCCGTGAAAATTCTTTCACAAGCGATTCTTTAAACTTTGATTTAACCAAGTTAAATGCAATATATTTTTAATGTTCAAATTTATACATAAATATAAACTGAGGAGATATTCTTAAGGGAAAAATATATTTTGTAGTATAAAGATTTTCAAATTTTGAAACTATATACACTCGTACGGTTGCCATGGTAACATTAACCATAGCAACTGTTTTCATAGCAACCGTTTCCATGACAACCGCTGCCATAGCAACTGTTTCCATAACTACCATTACCATAGGAATCATTACTATGACAAACGTTACCATAGAAACCGTTTCCATGGTAAACCATGGCTACACTGAGAAAAATATTTAGTCAGAGCAACCAAAATTTGCTTGGGCCAACAAAAAAATTTTGTTGGTATTTAAGCAACCAAAATATTTGTTTGAGTCAACCAAAAAATTTGGTTGAGTGTTTTTTGTTGGGATAACAAAAATGTTTGGTTAGCCCAACCAAATTTTTTTTGTTAAGTCAACAAAAATGTTTGGTTGATCAAACAAATAGTTTTTTTTTTACCTTATCTCTATTCTTTTTATCTTTTTCATTATTTATTTATTTTTAATTTCACATTAAATTTATATTTATCCAATTGAAATATTTGAGGATTTTGAAAAATCTCATCTCCGCCAGGGATCGAACCTCTGTTTTAAAACTAAAGGTCGGGTGCTCTAACCACTGGACTACCCATCCTTGTGAGAGATTTAAACTAACTGTTCTCTTAAGCTATGAGCTGAGAGCGTATCAAATTATTTGGTTGTCGCAACCAAATTTTGGTTGGAATTTAAAAATGTTCAACCAGATAATTTTGTTGGCCTAATCAAATGTTTGGTTGAGATAACTCTACGACTTTGTTTCAGCCAACCAAAATTTGGCTACAAGAACCAAAATTGCCTAACCAAACAATTTTGTTGCAAACACTAAATTTTTTTCTCAGTGTATATTTTATTATATACAAACTAATTTTTGACCTGTTTAGTAAAGAAATTATTTTTTAACAACTGGTTCTTTAAAACAGAAAAAAAATTTTAATTAATAAAATTTATTTTCTTTCAATTATTTATTTTGTTTGTTTGAAAACAAAAATGAATTTTATCGTTGAATTTCCATTTAGATTTAGGGCAATGAGTGAATGAGGGAGAGAGAGAGAGAGAATCGTCTCCTTAAAAACAGATTTAGTAAATCCTGTTGAGAAAATTGTCGCGCGTAAAGAGAAATCTAAGAAGCAAGCGCTTTTCGTGAAAATTGTCGGTAGTGAGATAGGGAAAAGGTAGATGACGTATATACACCCTTAGCCATTTCTTGATAACACCTCTCTCTCTCTCTCTCTCTCTCTCTCTCTTTCTTTCTTCTCTCTCTCTTTCTTCTCTAAAACCTTTTTGTATATAAATAAATATAGTATTACAATTTTGCGCTGACAAATTCCATTGATACCATGATGATTATCTCAGGCTTTTGCTTATGTCATTTCAATATAGATTAGTCACGTAATCTCCAAAGAAAATGAAATTCTTTTCTTCTAAATATAGAATTTATTCACAAAAAGGGCATTGAATTTAATTTATTGAAAAATTAAATTTCCGCAGTTTAATTTTTCATTATAGTTTTTTTTATCTTTACATTTAATCATTCTAATCACAGAAAGTTATAAGGTATTAAAATAAACTGCAACGCTTATTATTTTAATCCAATTTTGCTTATTTTAATTCATTTTGGAATTAAAATAAGCAAAATTGGATTAAAATAATAAGCGTTGCAGCTTATTTTAATGCCTTTTAATTTTCTGTAATATTATATAATTTAAAATATATTTATAACAATATTTGAAAAATTCCATGTAATGTGAATTTTAAAAAACGCGATTTTCTCTTTTAATAAAAATGAGACAACTGTCAGAAAAGTGATTCCTTTATCGAAATGTGTCTTTTTTCACAAAATTATATATATATATATATATTTCTGTTGCAAATTACTTCTTTTGTTGAAAATGTTACGTTCTTTATTTTTTTTAGAGAGAGAAAAAATTCATGTTGCCTTTAAAAGAAAAATATTGCTTTGATGGAGAGAAGTTACAATTGTCGTTACAGTTTGAAATAGAATTGCGAAGTGTTCTTGATATTTTTAAGAAAGAATACTTGCTGAATTGAGATTCGACTTGGTATATATATATATATATAGGGTCCCTGATCGTCAAATAAATTCAGTCTCGAGAATTTCCGTCTGCCTCATTCTCTCCATATCCTCCTTTTGCGATTTGCCCGCTAGTCGAGGGATCAGAACGAGACACGAGAATCAATTTTACACGACATATAGCTTTGAGTTTATCGTTTTATCGTCAGGTGGGCGCGTCGCATTTCCATCATGTCATAATGTCGCTCTTCAAATTACCCTATAATGAGAAATATCACGCATTTCACTTTTTTTTTTTTTCCTTGATAGTGTAAACTATCAATTTATTAGAAATCAATTTTTATTAGAAACTAATGTAACAATTTATTTTTTTCTCCCTAGATATTTATTTTCTAATAGTGAAAAAGAATAATTAATTGGTTAATCTATTTTCAAACCTATTTTATAATTTGTATTTATGAATAATAGAATATATTATGGATTTTAGAGATGGAAAATTGAATTGGTAATATGTAGACGGTTTAGTTGTGTAAAAGTAGGTCAACAACGATGGACCAGATGGCATCAAAATGACCCACCGGGGACTTGGTGCAATTCAGAGACTAGTTTGCTAAATGTGATGGTACTCTGGGTATTGTCGTTAGGCGTATATTTCACTTTTTTTTTTTTTTTTTTTTTCTTTTTTGTTCGCCCTGCATACTTTGACGTTTTGTATTATTGTGGACCTGTGCAGAGCCAGCACACGTCTCAGTGCATTCATGCTCGTTGAAACAAGAGCCTTGCTTACGTATAGAAGTCACTGAGTGATTGAGAGCATCGTCCATGCGACAGATTTCTCCTCTAGAAAATGGAATTTCAACAACATCCCTCAAAGGCTTTCTGTACGTCATTTGATGGAGCGTCTCATTCGAATATCGACTTTTCTCGATCCCCACTGTCATACCAAACTTTTTTTTCTTTTAATTATTATTTAAATTTAGAAAAAAAAAAATTATTCCAATTGGTATTATTATAATTATTGAATCGTAAAAATATGATAATTAATTAGTAATTACTGATATATTAATTCGGTATTATTGTGTATTTTTTTTAAAAATGAGTTGAGAACACCGGGCGCGCTACCAATCACAGCGAGTTACGTCATGCGAGGAGTGGGGGTAACGATCAGTGATTGGTTCCCCCACTCCTCGTTTGTAACGCGCGCAGTGTTCTCAACTTGATTTTTTATAACTATGAAATATAAATAATTCATTTTTTTTTCTATTTCAGATATTTACAGATGTGTTGAAAAGTGATTAGCTTCGGGAGTGTTCGATTTTAAAATCGCGATCGATTAATTAGGTAGTGTATTTTAGTGATTAACAATTAATGCCACTTAGGAAGCAACAAGGAAGGGAAACACGCGACGCATCATAGGCATCCCTATCATCAACAGGTGAGTTTTTAAATAATATATTAATATTATATTAATAATAATAAACTACTATTAAATTTTCAAACTAAATTATAATAATATTAATTATTATTATTATTATTATTAAAAATCGTTTTAATAGAAAGGAAAAGATTTTACCAAATTAGGAAAATGAAATTAAAAAATAAGTTTTTGATTTAAAACAATTTCTTTTTAAAAAGAAGAATAATATTTTGGAGGATCTCTCTTTCTTTTGTGTTAAAACAAAAATGCTTTATACTTTGGTATAGACGAGTGAAAGATTCAAATTTTGTTGTTCGCCTCTGAATCAAATTTTATTTCCGTTTCCATAGTTTCAATTTTCAAATATCTGTTGTAGCTCTACTCTAGTTACGGTTCACTAATTTTCAAACACTTGGTGATCTCTTTTTTCCACTTTTTTTTTTTTTTTTTTTTTTTTTTTTTTTTTTTTTTGAACGAAGCGCACAATCAATATATAGTTTACGCGCGCGCTCATAAAATAAAGCTCCGCAGCAGAAACTTGACGGTGCATTCTCATCAAAGTGCAATTCAAACTTTAACCCAAAAGCCCAGAGCTTTTGGAAAGACACTATAAAAGCTATATGGAAGTAGAAATCGCGTGGCTCAATGAAAAAGACAAAAACCCCCTTTAAAATCCGATTGATGTAATATTATCTATATATATATATATATATAGAGAGAGAGAGATAGATAGATAAAATCGAGCTGAGTTGTTTCTTTTCGATTGTTTCCTTTTCCCGTTATTTCGCTTTTTAGTCTTTAAATTATTGTCTGTCACGGTTCCAAGAAATAACAGAAAATAATAAAATTAATAAGAAAAATAAAACTAATTTTATCAACAATAATTTATATAATAGGAAATAATTTTTAACAATGTAGTAAAAAAAAATTCAAATTCTTCTCACAATTATTGTAAATATTTTTTACTCAAATTTTGAATTGAAAATTTATTTAAAAGAATATAGAAATAATTTGAAAATTGAAAAAATCGAAAGTTGATTAAACAATTGAGAAAAACGGATTTATTGTTATTTTCCTTTTTTTTTACAAATTACATTTTTCTGTAGCATCTGGAATCAAATAATTCGGGAATAATTTCAATTGAGGAGAATCGTTCTGATGGAACAATTTTCGAATTTCTTCAGTTCACGTTTCTGGCTGTCGTGAAAATGGAGAAAATTGTTCCAATTACGTGAAACGTCACCCAGAAACTCAGCATCGAGTCACGGCATTGTTTCTCTTCTCTTTCTTTTTTTTCTTTCTTTTTCTTTCTTTTTTCTTTACGTTTTCTGATTCGTCCTTATTTTCTTCATTGTCTCTCACTTACTATCATCCAAACAGTCGGTTCTAAAGACTAAACTTAAGTACACAAATTTTTCTAACGTCCGCTGATAGACTGATATCTAAATTACACGAATTTAAAACGTTCTGATTAATTAAAATTGACTAATTAAAATACTTATATTAAAAAAATTTGTAAAAAAAATCAGTCTGACAGAAACGGACTTTTACTATTGAAATTTGAAGTATAAAAATATTGCAAAAGCGTGTCTGACTAAATACCCTTTTTCTACTGAATTATAGTAATTTGTAATCTTCTGTCTTACTAATACTGTCTTTGACTACTTAAAAAAACGAAAATATCTAATAATACCTTGTTTGCAATTTATTTATTTTTACGATTTAAAAAAAGTTTTGTTCTTTTATTACTCAATTCAGTTAATTATTTTGCGCGCAGGACAACAAAGTTTCCCTCTTTATATAATGCATTTTACAGTTTCTAAATTTCAATCAAACTTGGAGATTATAATTCCAACGTCATATTCAGATTCAGCAACTTACAAAACTTGGAAATTATAAGTTTTCACTATATTGTATAATTTATAAGAAACAATATTTCTAGAAAATAAATTTTAATGGTTTGTTGAATATCATGTCTTAAAGTTTGATTAAGTTTTTTCCAAAGAGAGAAAAGTGGAAGCTCGAGACTTAGGGAAATTAAATTTATATAATATAATCTATAGCACATATAAATTAAGTGCTGAAATTTCATTTTTTATATAAAAAAACTAAATCAATTGATTTTAATTCACAAACATTAAACCCGTGGTAGAAATAATTAATAATCTTCTATTTTTAATTGGATGCGCGGCATATATATATATATATTTTTTAATATAAAAAGAAAGTTGCATAACAAATATGATTTCAATTATAATTGGCAGTTAATGAAAAAATAATTTAAAATACGAAACAATTTACAATATATAGAATATTGGATTGCAATAAAAATACGTAATTAGCATTCAATCAGTTCAACATTGTGAGCATCAATTTTTCATTTCTCTCATATAGTGTGCGATCATGTTGTCGTGCAATTCTTTGTGCACGGCGCTCGCGATTCCTTCCTACAACTTTTTGCTCTTCACTGCTCGTTTATGAGGCTGCTATGTCTATTTGCTGATGTAATCGTTTATTGCTTGAATTCTATTGCTATTTAAATGCTTATAAAAAAAAAGGTCTCAATTATTACAAGGAGAATAAAAACAAATAATTTTTATCAGTATTTTTAAAATATATTTTTTATATAAATAAAATAAATATATATTTTTATAATATAAATAAGTTATAATATAATAAATAATAGAAGGAAAAAAAATTTGATTAGATTTCTATGATTTAAAATGTAGGGAGGGGGGATGATTTGTTGAAATGGAAAAAGGGTCAATCATTTTTCCGCTATTGGTGTTTACTAGCCGTTGAGAAAAGAAAGGAAAAAAAAAATGCTTCTAACCACAATCTAAAGGATTGTCAATGCCCCTCTCGACGGCTCACTCTCCACGACACAACTTCCGAGAGTTTTTTTTTTTATATTCCAACGTCATTGACGCTGTTCTTTCCGGTTGTTTTTTTTCTCTCTCTCTCTTACTTTTTCATCGTCCCTTTATTCCTTCTAGCTTCTTAAGTGTTTTCTTGTTTTTGTGTCGATTGCTTCCTAAGATTAATTATAGTCTCCGACATCTTTCATGTTTTTATTGTCATTCTCAAATGTATTTATAGATTTTCTTTATCAAGAATTTTTTATTAAATTAAATATGAAAATAGTTGACTATTTAGCACTTGATTCACACTGAGCATCAAATGGCATTAAAAAAAAAAAAAAAAAAAAAAAAGGGTTCTTTTTCCCTGAGAGTCGTAGTAGTCGTCGTTGTCGTATAGTCGTTGAATAATACATGCGCGCACAGTCGGCAGGTATGTAGTTGGAATACACATCGTTTACCGAGCCGGTTCTTGGCCTATTTTACAATTCCTTTGATACTGGATTTCGCATAAGCCAAATCGAATGCTTTTCACAAGAGAGCAACCGACTTCTCTTCGCTCTGCTAACCAATCAAGTGCCCAAGAAAGATCCATGATCTCTGATCCGTCACAAAGTAAACTGGAAATTTTAGTAAAGTCTTTATTTCATTTTATCTTTTGTGTAATTTTTTTTTTTCTATATAAAAAAAATTTTACCAAAAAAAATTGCGTTTATTTTTCATGGGTTTAATTTTGAGATTTAAAAAAATTAAGGAGAAATAGAAGAGTCTTTATTTCATTTTATCGTTTGAGTCTTTTATTTTTTCTACATTAAAAATTCTTAACTGCTCTCTAAATCTGAATTAGTAAAAATGTTTACTAATTTAAATTAGTGACTCACTTTTTGCTTCTGAATTAGTAAAATTTTACTAATTATTAGTAACTTTTACTAAAAATTAGTAAAATTTCACTAATTCTAAAGCAAAAAGTGAGTCACTAATTCAAATTAGTAAACATTTTTACTAATTCATATTTAGAGAGTGTCTTTCTATTTACGAATTTATTTATTTCAATAATTATTATAAAAAAATTTAGCTTTAACTAGCAATAGTTTTAAATTTGATTATATTTATTTATAATTTTATTATAATTATTTAAAAATAACTTTTCAAGAATTTCATCAAAATTATTTAACATGTAACAGGAAGATAGTTTTGTTATTCTTAGAAACTATTGGTGATGCAGGGGAGATAATATTCTTTTTAAGAGACCCTTGAGAAATGACATTTTGACACTTAACGTGGCAAAGATTTCGAATCCTGTTTTAGGTTTACAAATAAAGGGGAAAGCTTTTCCTGGTTCAGTTAAAAAAAAAAATATTCTAAAAACGTAACTTGATCCTATTTATAAATCGCTAACATATTTTTAACACGATTGTCTCTTTAAATTTACAAAAATCATGAAAACATGTAAAAAAAGAGTAATATTAAATTTTTCTTCTATTTTTTTCTACTCAAAAATATGTTAACATTTTTTTTTTTTGAATTAATATTCCAACCGTTAAAATGAAAGTCAAAGTAGTAAATCATTTTTGATATTTTGTAAGCGTTATTTCTCAACTAAAGTATTTACCATTGAATGGTGAATAATTTAATTTCCCTTGACAATTATGAGAGTGTTTATTTTTTTTCTTGGTAAAAAAAAAATGCAATTTACATTTGCAATATAAATATATTATATATATATATAATATTGCAATGTATTTTGAGTAACTTGTATGTTCACACGCTTCATTTACTCGGCAATGAAGAAAAATAGTAGTCAACTAATTAGAAATGAAAATGTAATTTATTCGTCAGAATTTTTTTTTATATTATGTATAACGCATATATGGAAAATCAATGAATCTGCAGATCTCTCGATCGGAATATATCGAAGCGTATTCAAGTGTACAAGTTTGTATTTTATATTCAGTCGAGGATTGAGCAATGTAGAGTTGGAGATTTCCCGCTGGACCAGTTGGCCGATAAACCTAACACGCGGAAGGAAAACTTAAAAAGTCCCCTATACACGTTTTACTCAATGATCGATCGTTGACACATTACCAATATTAATATGTATTACATCTGTTAGAAAAATATTTTCAAAAACTTTTTTCTTTTCTAACCTCCCTTTAGAAA